CATCTCGATATTTTAAAAATGTCAGAAAGTTATTTTCTGTGAGTTGCCTCTGCTATTTAGAGAAGAGTACCTGTAGTTTCAAAGAAAAAAATTTCATGAATTTACAACAACTATGAGTGTAAGCATTTGGTACAAACCTGCTCTGAGAATGGTTGGCCTGCTACGCTTTATTATGGCCTTATTTACGGATCGTATGTTGACTGAACCAGACCGTTGCTGTTCATTTATATTTAGAAAACATCGCCTAAACGAGTGCAGTGTGTCTAGCACGCTTTTATTCATCTTAGAGATTCAAAAAACAATAAAAGCGAATATATTTTAACTAACTAGTCTGGTGAAAACAACCGCCCACCTCTCACGACCCTGATGAAAGCTGGCGGAACATTGCCACATTGTTTTCCTCTTAAACAACTGAGACTGATAAATATTTCCGTGCTGTAAATGAAACCTCTATAATTATGTGAGAAGTGTCAAACTTTCAGGTGGGCACATTTTGCTGAAATTTCAAATAAAGAAGGAGTACAGGCACGCAGTGAGGTTTTTTCTTTTCAGTTAGAGAGGAGGGGGGCAGGAGATTATAAACATTTGATAAAATCCATAAGCTGAGCGGTGCGATGATATGTAGTGAGCGAGACTCCAAATGGCTAGGTCTCGAAAATTTGGTTTTCTGCGCTGCAGAAGCAATCTAACATAAGGCAATCACGTCTGAGCTTGAACTGAAGAACTATCAGCAAAAAAGGACACCTGGTATTAATCAATACGGTCTGCCCAAAAATGGAGTTTTGTTTACTTTTGTCTACGATCTCGTGTCGACCACGAACTAGGTAGGTACGCATTTTTATAACGTAGATGCTGTAAACAAGTTAAAAAAACCAATTTGTGCTTTTTGGTGACAGTTTTGTGAAAAGTTCAGTAGATGTCGTCACAAGAACTGTGAAGATAAGACCAATTTTCGAAAATACCCATTTTAGATATCAGAAAATGAATTGGCGAGCACGCGTTTGCTTTCGATAAATTCTCTTCAGGCCTGTACATTTATATCGTAATGAAATAAATATACTATGCTGGTCGTTTATTTATTTCATTACGATATAAATGTACAGGCCTGAAGATAATTTATCGAAAACAAACGTACACTCACCGATTTGTCCTTAGAAAAGAACGATTTTTTTAAGCATTACTCCTTACTTTACGGACAGTAACTCTTTTACGAGACCAATTTAATACATTTATCGCAAATTTGTGGATAATTGAGAGTTTTAATAAATCTGACAGCACTTTCTGTGTTCTTAACATACGATATAAGGGCACTATGTTTGGGCAATCAGTTCCTGTTTTGAAGCAGATGTCGAATCTTGTCCATTTTTGGTCAAGAACATTCCATACAACTGTATTTTCCTAAGTACATCTATGAACGACAGAGATCTGCTTTGCCTTATTCAGAGGCTTACATTTAATCATATGATCGCTGCGGACGCTACGTACTTTTAGGCCGTCTATGAAAGCTGAAAAATACTTTGATTTTCTGAGTTTTTTATGCAAACTTTATTAATTGCTGCCTTTGGATTTTAAAAACGCCACTTATGGAAAAACTGCATCCCTTTCGAAGATAACTAAAAAACCCTGCATGGTACTCTAGTTTTTAATGGCTCATCCACATGCTATGCAGGCTTTTTGCTATTCCATTACCAAGTTCATATAGCCATTTCTAGATTATACGAAAAGGCGTAGTTTCGGGTCAGTGCGGCGAACAACAATTAGTTTTATTTTTATTCCTTGAAAGGAACAAATATATGTTGAAATTTCTTACCATCAGTTTGGACTTTATGACTAAAGCACAAAATTAGTAGTGCGTAAACGAACTCGGTGTTTAGCTAGTATATGAAATAGTCCGCTTGTGAACTATAAATTATAACTTATTTGACTGTAAAAAAATATCTCTCATCTATTTTTTACTAGTTAGTTTTGAGAGAAATCGCTCCAGCACGTTTTAATTACAACTGCAAACCAGTCACATTGAGTTCAGGTAGTTTCTTCCATGAAGAGCACAAGATCATGCGTCTACAAAAATCAGGACGATGTTAGAAAAATAAATTGGGATTCATGCCTTCACAAATTACGTCATATATAATTTCTGTATAAGGTGTTTTTCAATGAGAATGATTAGCTGACTACAAGTCCTCTGATATAGGTAATCCCGTGTACGACATTTTTAAACCCTAACAAATAAGTAGTATGTAAGTATTTCGGACAACCAGCCATCGCACTATTAAGTTCATTTCTACCTTATCAAAGAGGGCTGGTTCGGAGCCAGACTGTTTGGGAATGTCACAAAGGCCACATTAAGCAAGAACCACTACAGACTGATCGGCAAAAATAGCTTATGTAGGCCCACTCATATACCCTAGTCCCAGCATTTTTTCCTACGGAAACGGTGGTTATAGGATGTTTTGGGGGTTAGGGAAATAGGATAGACATTGAAGGAAATTTTTAGAAGTGGAAAGTGGAAAAATGTAAGTGAATTTGTTTCCTGCGGCCGCTGGGATTAAGTTCTTCCGCATGTAAATTAGAGGTTTGCGCGGCGCTTCGCGTCGCGGACCATACTAAGCTAACTTCAGAACGGCAAG